TAGATATCACTATCAATTGATCCATACAAGTAAGCTGTAACAACATTCATAAGACGCATCTCTAAATTTTTAGATACTGCCAAGCTGATTAAATATCTGAAAGTGGTTGCATCCATTACCGGTGAATAAGTTTCTTCATAATCAATTCCAGGTCTTTGAGAGAAACCTTGAGCAACAAGCCTGGGCTTGTATCTTACAATTTCATCTTTCTCATCTTTTTCGTACGAAGATCCATCTATATCCTAATGGTTTCACAACTTCAGGTGTGAGGATAATGTTCCCAAAAACCTTTCTCTTGTTAAGAGAATTTAATTCAACTTGCATAGCTTCTTTCCATTTAGCCCAATCATTTCTTCTTTGACATTCAATGACAGATTGTGGTTCGGGATCATTATTCATAATATCACATGCAACTGAATAAGAAAATATTGCACCTATATTGTCAGTTTCATTTTGGTCACATATTCTATTTGTCTGACCATAATTGAATGCATCATCCTCCTTTCCTGGGGGAATTTGAATAATTCGTGTTTCTCCAGGAACACTTTCATCGTGATCTAGTGCATTTTCTGCTCCTCTTCTTTTTCGTGGGTTCTTATCCTTAGAACCAAATGGCCTTCCACGCTTCAGGCTTGTTTTAGACTCTTGAGTGACTTTATCATCAGATTGTCCATGTGGAATGTCAATTCGAGCTGGAACATTGACAGATGGTATATATGATTTAGTCACCCTTTTTGTATCAGTAAATGCATCAGGTAATTGATTTTCCATTTCTTGGAAATGCATTATCTTTTGAACTTCATGTCACATTGCTTTGTGCGAGGGTCAAGATATGATAAAGTAGGCTCATGCCATGACACATCCTTTTCCAGAATCTTCTTTTCTCCACCTAATGATGGGAAATTTGCCTCATCAAATTGACAATCTGCTAGGCGTGCTGTGAAAACATCACCTGTTAATGGTTCAAGATATCTTATAATAGAGACTGACTCATAACCAACATATATTCCCAACCTTCTTTGAGGACCCATTTTTGTCCGTTGAGGTGGTGCAATAGGGACATATACTGCACACCCAAAAATTCTCAAATGGGATATATTTGGCTCTTGACCGAAAGCAAGTTGTAGTGGAGAATATACATGATATGAACTTGGTCTCATGCGTATCAATGATCCAGCATGTAAGATTGCATGGCCCCAAACAGAAACAGGGAGTTTGGTCCTCATTATCAATGGTCTAGCTATTAGCTGGAGACGTTTAATCAGTGATTCAGCTAAACCATTTTGTGTGTGTACATGAGCAACTGGATGCTCAACAACAATTCCTACAGACATACAATAGTCATTAAATCCTTGTGAAGTAAATTCACCAACATTATCAAGTCTCACTCTTTTGATAGTATAATCAGGGAAGTGTGCCCTTAATTTAATAATTTGGGCAAGAAACTTTGCAAATGCCATATTACGAGTTGATAATAGGCAAACATGAGACCATTTGTTGGATGCATCTATTAAGACCATAAAGTATCTAAATGGTCCAGATGGTGGGTGAATCGGTCCACATATATCACCTTGAATTCTTTCTAGAAATCTAGGTGACTCCCTTTCAACTTTCATTGGAGAGTGTTTTATAATTAACTTTCCAAGGGAACAAGATGTACATGGTTTTATGCTATTGGATTAAGGGAACTTTTGGTCCTTCAATGGATGCCCATGTGTATTCTCAATTATCCTTCGCATCATTGTTAATCCTGGGTGGCCCAACCTATCATGCCATAAACTGAATGTCCCAGGATCACAATGTTTTCCTTCTACTACCATATTTGATTCAATCATATGTATATATGTATAATGCAGACCAAAATCAAGTGTTGGTAGTTTTTCAAGCACATGGTTTTTGTCTATAATATACATATATTTCTTATTTTCAATGGTCACAGTTTTTGTGTCATAACCTTTGAAATATATGTCATTGAAACTTAATAAGTTTCTATTAGACTTTGGAGAAAATAAGGCATTTTCTATACAAAAGCTTGTACCATTTGGTAATATAAAATGGGCTTTCCTTGGTTCCCTCAATCAAGTCTGCACGACCTGATATTGTATGTATGACTGTTTTTGTTGGTACTAATTCTGAAAAATATTTCTTTGATTTCAGAATAGTATGTGTACTACCACTATCTGCTATACAAAGATCTCCAATCTTTTCTTGGTGTTGTGCTCCAGTTGGACTCATATTAAACTTCACATATAAAAGGAATAATAAGTGAATAAACATAATCATAATTATTATTAAAAAGAAAGTTCATTTATTGTAGGAAAGACATTACATGAAAAACAAACGAAGGAAAAACAGTTTTACTAGAACAATAATAGATTTTTTTTTAGTTTATGTCTTCCATGTCATTGCATAAATCAGAGGTTTGCTTCTTTTCCTTTTCCTTTAATCGACTCTTGATAAAGTTGACAAAGATGTGCAGGTGTGCGACAGGTCCTTGACCAATGGTCTGTGCTACCACATCTATAACATGAACCATCAGATTTTTGTGATGTCCCAGTGTCATGCCTTGCCACTTTGGCCTTATCTTGTGTGTGGACATTGTTTCTTTGTGAATATTGGTAATTATTTCTTTTCTGGCCATGACCACGATTATTACCTTGTCCACGACCAAAGTTATGGTTCTGATTATGGCTTTGGTTTCGATTAAAATAGCCACGGCCTCGCCCTCGACCACGACCTCGCCCTCGTCCACGTGTATTGTTTCGATGACCATCAATATTTGTAGCATTTGCTTCAGGAAGTGCTACTGATCCCGTTGGACGAGATTCATGGTTTTTCATTAAAAGTTCATTGTTTTGCTCTGCAACGAGCAGACATGCATTCAGTTCAGAATATCTTGTGAACTTTTGCATCCGATATTGTTGCATCAAAGTAATGTTTGTTGCATGGAATGTTGAGTAAGTTTTCTCCAACATATCTTCATCAGTAACCTCTTGTCCACAATACTTGAGTTGTGAACATATTCTGAACAAAGCTGAGTTGTATTCATTTACTTTCTTGAAGTCTTGAAACCTTAGTGTTCTCCATTCATCTCTAGCATTTGGAAGTATAACTTCCTTTTGATGATCAAATCTTTCTTTCAAAAGATTCTAGAGAATACTTGGATCAGTAACATCAAGATATTCAAATCTCAACATTTCATCAATATGCTTACGAAGGAAAACTTGTGCTTTTGCTTTGTCTTGTGCCAAGCAATTATTAAATTTATATATAGTATTTGAGATACCCATGGATTCAAGATGCATTTTTACATCTATCATCCATGGCACATAGTTTTTCCCACTGACTTCAAGTGCTGCAAACTCGAGCTTTGCAATGTTGGACATAATGTAACTATAAATTTTAAACAAAATAAAAATTAAAATTAAAATCCATTTATTTCAATAAATATTACACAAAAAAGAAGCGGTAAAGCTAACATTGCATAGAAGCCTAAAAGTAGATGGAATTCCATATTATCTTCGATGTTAAGGATTGAGATGAAAAGTAACATAACTATTATAGTCATGATTATCACAAAATGATGAATCATCTTGAAGCTTGATTTCTTGAAATTGATTTATTTGATAGAAGAGAGAAATATTTGTTGTGGGTAAAATAAGCAGGGTAAAGATGTTTATTTATGGTAAAAAAAAATATAGCCGTTGTTTTTGCTGTTTATAACCGTTGCATATATATTTCCGTTGTGTATATATGTATATGTATTTTATAAATCATATAATAAGACTTATAACTAATACATAACTTTACTAATTAGAAACATAAATAAATATTAGTAAATGTTTAAATAAAATTATGAAGAGTATCTAAAATATAAATAAACATTGACATGTATAAATAAATATAATTTAAATGTTAGTATGCACAGATAAAAGTTAGTAGCATAATATAAATGTTAGTATGCATAAATAAAAGTTAGTTGCATAATGTAAATGTTAGTTTGCATAAATAAAAATTAGTTGCATAATGTAAATGTTAGTATAAAAATTAGAATACATAAAGAAATGTTAGTATAAGAAATAAAAATTGTTAGTAGTCCATAATGTATAAGTTTCATTAATTCATTAGTATTATTATTATTTTAATATGACTGAGGGTTTTTATAATTAATAGTGTTTTTAATAAGTAATACATACATTGATTAAGATAGATGTGATTTTCCACTTGTTTAATAACCTTGATTAGAGCTTTCGTGCTGATAACGTGTTATGAATTAAGCGTAATTAATGTAACTATAAATCAAACCAAACTAGTAAACTTTGATAAGAACTTTAATTGAGAAGAAAGAATATTTAGAGAGAATATGAAAGTTATATCTCTTATAACTTTTGGTGTATCACATTCTTTACAATGGAGGAGTATTTATACTACAAATTTTACTAACATATAATTGTAACTAGTTAGAAATGTTGACAAATTTACCATGCACCAATTATTATGTCATCCACCAATTATTTACAACACCACCAATTATTTACAACAATAATATTTTTGTAATAACATGCAATAGTTTGAGATTTTCTAGCAAAAGTTAAAAGTTTAAAAATTAAAGGGATAATGTCACTGTAGCACAACCAACTTTTGTGATTTGTTCGACTTGACCAATTATGTTTTTTTTCTTGCGCATTAGGTCATCTAACTTTTACTGTACATGTCAATTAGGTCATTATCGTTAGTTTTTAACCATTCATCCGTTAACTAGTTATCTAAATTACACGAATGGCCTCTATGGTTTAAATTTCATTCGTAATTGGTCGTTATCAGCCATGTTTTAAATCACACGACTAAAACTACCATAATTCTGAAACTCTAGGGGACCAAAATGTAACATTGTCATCGTCTTCCCTAAATTTTTTCATATCCCAACTTACCCGACGCTCCTTCAAAATCAATTAGAAAGGTTGAGAGAATTTTCCAAAATTTTCATATCTTCAGTCGAAATGAGGACCTACGGGAACTTGAAGGATCAAACTGTCGAAATCCTGCTACCTGATTTCGACTTCGATCATACAGTCGAAAGGAGGTTAAGTTCAGTTTCAGGTCTCGTCATTTGGGTTTACCAGGTTGCTTTTGGTCGAGTTTTAAATTCGTTGTATCCGTATAATAAGCCAACAAATGTGGTTCTACCGAATCTGAACGATTCATGTACCTGCATTGTCAATCTTCAAAGTTCTCAGAAGACTTACAAAGCGGTGCTTGAATTATATGTTTTGTTTCATGGAGAAGATGAATTCTGGTACATGAATCCTTTAGGTTCGTATATAGAAACCAACCATTTGGCCACCGAAAGAGCTCACGGTGCATACCGTGAAGTATTGGTGACGATTGACGGTCAATTAGTCGGATCAGTGGTTCCTTTCCTGGTGATATTCACCGGCGGAATCAATCCTCTGTTTTGGGAGCCTGTTGTCTCCATTGGAGCTTTTGATCTTCCTACTTATGATATCGATTTCACTCCGCTTCTAGGGATTCTTTTAGATAACAAAAACCATCCAATCGGGCTTTAGGTTGCTAATGGTATCTCCTTTTGGCTTATCGATGCAAATGTACATCTCTGGTTGGATCATACAGATGTAAACGCTGTAACTGTGAAGTATAAAGTCCCATCAATGAAGATCCAACGTAAATTTGAGTTCGTACTCCTTGATGGAGAATTCGAAGTAGAAGGAGAAGGGAGTAATCAAGCTACAGGATGGGTAAATTCAAGCTTCGGCAATCTGAAAACCCAATTTACCGAAAACCAAATTCAAGAGCAAGCTCAAGTTCAAATCAAAGGGAACTAAGAAAGAACTCGACCAACAGATCAATGCTTACTGGGTATTCAATGTTACACTTTGGCCCCTAGAGTTTCAGAATTGTGGTAGTTTTAGTCGTATGATTTAAAACATGGCTGATAACGACCAATTACGAATGAAATTTAAACCACAGGGGTCATTCGTGTAATTTAGATAACTAGTTAACGGAGGAATGGTTAAAAACTAACGATAATAACTTAATTGACATGTACAGTAAAAGTTAGATGACCTAATGCGCAAGAAAAAAACATAATTGGTCAAGTCAGACAAATCACAAAAGTTGGTTGTGCTACAGTGACATTATCCCAAAATTAAAATGTGAAAAAATGTTAATAAATAAAGAAGATTTTTAATTGAGAAAATTTGTGAAATGACAAAAAAGGAGGAGTTGTTTGAAGAAAAATGATCAAGAATTAGGAGTTTTCGAAAAATGACATGGCGGAAGTCCTTTAGCTCTGAGGAACAAGAAAATCTCTGAAAAATGACATGGCGGGAAAAAAAACAAAAAAAAATTACAAAATTTTAATCCCGCAGAGGTTGCATCATTCCACATAGATGCCCTCTGCGGATCTGTTCTTCAGAGGTACTCATCAAATGAATTGTTTTTTCGCTAAAACATGGCCTAAGAACGATTATGGTATTTGTTTTCTTCTAAATCTAATGAAGTATCAACATTTAGCATATATCATTGATTCAAAATAACAATTTAAACTATAAAACTATGTTTCTAAGTATATTTCTTTGACGATTTAGTCAACACAAGTCATGTTTTAGCGAATAACCATTCTTTAAGGAGTAGCTCTGAAGAACAAAATCCGCAGAGGGCATCTCTATGGAACGATACACCCTCTGTGGAATTAAAATTTTATAATTTTTTTTGTCTTTTCCCCTGCCACGTCATTTTCTTAGGGAGTTTTCTTGTTCCTCAGAGCCAAAAGATTTCCACGGAAGCTCTCTCTGTGGAAGTCATGAGTATTTTTCGAAAACACCTAAATCTTGGTCATTTTCTTCAAGCAGCTCCCTTTTTTGTTATTTCACAATTTTTCTCTTTCTAATTTTGGAAGAAGCATGCGTATACAAGAACTCCTTTCCCACTCTCGTTCACGTGTTGATTCCTTATTGGTTGGAGCTTTTTTTTTCATTCAATTCGTTTTGGGCTATAACTTTTGTTTTTTGAAAAAAAAAATGATAGCTCTTACAATTGTCTCTTAACAAAATGAGAATATTAATTTGAAATATATATATATATATATATATATATATATATATATATGTTTAGTGTCTATGGAAAACAAAAACCCTAAAAATAATAAAGTTTCATAAAAAAAATACTTAGAGATCACAAATCATTTTTTTTGACTTTATATATTCTTAAAAATCGCAACTTTTTATATAATTTCGTTGAAATACTTTTTGAAAAAAACCAAAAAAATAAAAAATAAAAAATCGATTTTTTGATTTTTTTTCAGCGAATTTCTAAAAAAAGTTGTGATTTTTAAGAATATAAAATAAAAAAAAATGATTTGTGATATCTAATTATTTTTAATTGATTATTATGATTTTTAAAGTCCGGTTCCGGTGACTATTCAAAAAATGGTGATGACTGCGACGACAATTCTCCACCACTCATTTCGTCAAGGGTACAAACGTCAAACCCAATATTTGGGCGTGACGCGTTCGCTGCGACCCACGTCTGTGGCAATTAATATGGACTCGAGGATTTTATGATCACGTGCGACGAACGTTCAGGGAATGTCGTTTAAGTGTGTGTTTTTTCGTTTTTTTATATAAAAACTTTATATATATATATATATATATATATATATATATATATACACTATGTTTTTAGGGTTTTTTTTGTTTTGGTTTGCTTTTTTTTTCTAAAACTTTTTAATTTTTTTTCTTTGTTCATGTTTTTTTTTCAAATTTTTAATGTCTTTACTACGTAGTTGAAGATTCTAGTGTTTTTGTTTATTTTTGTTTTTATTTTTTGAATTTTTTTGTTTTTCTTTTATCTTTTTTTTGATTTTTTAAACTATATATCGGTTCAAGTTTTTAATATTTAACAATAATAAAAGTTTTAAATAATAAAAATATTAGGATCATAATATTCTCCGTTCATACTATTTTTGAATCATATTATTTTTGAATCAAATTATTTTGAATCATAATATATTGGATCATATAATTTTTGAATTATATGATTTTGGATCGATAATATATTCAGTTAAATGAAGTTTTTGTTCAAAAAAAATATGAATCCTTATATATTTTGAATCATTTAAATTTGACTCGTAAAAAATATAATTAAGCATTATAAAATATTTAAATATAAAAAAATATTTTTAGATCATAACAAATTAATGATTATAAACATGTTGAATCAAAAGTTTTTTTTGAATCATAAATATATTGAAACATCATATTTTTGATCATATGTTTAACATTTTTTTTAAACTATTATTTCTTAAAATTATAAAATAAACATTTCAAAAACTTATTTTAGAAAAAATCTTTTTATAAAAGCACTAGTATAATGAGTAGAAGTATACCTTTAAATTTCATAATTTTTGGAGATTTTTTTTCTGGATTTTTTATAAAAATTAAAAATAAAAAATATTTTTTTTTTAAATTTTCATGATTATGTTCATTTTATAGATAATTAAATTTTAGGTTTAGAATTTCTTTTTTTCAAATAAAAAAAATTATGATAAAAAAAACATGTGTGGAAAATAAATAAATAAAATTTCCCAGCAATTCTTATGCCGACACGTGAGATGCTCCAAGCCAATTTGCCATTTGATTTTGGCAAAGTTCACCCCTAAATATTTGCTCTAATCTTGGAAAATGATCATAACTTCATTTTATTTACCGAAAATGGCATTAGACGAATTTTTTTTTATTTTTTAATTTTGATTTATCTCAATCATCCATTTAAAATAATAAACGTTCGAGATTTGTCATCGCAGTTCTCATCAATTTTTGAGTTTTAACCCGATCCTCTATATATATATATATATATATATATATATATATATATATATATATATTATATATATATATATATATATATATATATATTCATGTTTGGAACCAATGAATAATTGTCAGTGTTACTTTATTCTTTAATAGGTAAATTACACGAATGGTCCCTCCAGATTAAAGTAATTTATGTGTTTGGTCCCAAAATTATTATATTTTAAATTAGAGTTTTTAACTAAATAATGGTGTTTGTAAAAACTATTTACTAAATCATAGTAGTTTTAAATTTATTTACTAAAAGATTGTACAATTTTGTTTTTTAAAATTAAATATTAAAAAATATTAATAAATAAGCACAAATTGACCCACATGAATACGTGACTCCTCTTTGGCTTTCACGCTACTTCTTCTTGCGTCTTCTCTCTTCTTTTTGTCTTTCTTATTCTAATTAGGTTTTAGACCAGAGGGAACATTGAGGTGGATTCGGATCCTGCAGGACATATTAATTAAGAAAATCGACACCATAATTCTTGATAGTTCATCCCCTTCTTTTGAGTACGTATTATGCCATAGGTCATCCAGAGAAGAAACAGTCTGACTTCACCTGTGAACTCCCGGCCCTTCCCTGTATAAATTGTTGCCTATCGATCCAAAGGAGAAACCATCCCTCCTTTCGTTTTCTGGATATTTCCGACTAAACACTCATCATCGACACAAACCCATCCCTTGTTCGGTTTATGGATAAAGCCGACGAAACTCTAAATGTTATATGTTCTTGTTGAGCACTGTGACGTTTTCACAACCTACATATAATGTTTCAAAAACTTGTGAAGAAGCATGAATCCAACAATGCCATTGAGACGTTTTTTTATTGATTAACACAAGATTTTGCTTCTAAAAACTCAATCAGGGAAAGAAGAAAAAATTACGTTTTCCTTGCAATTATTGCTTAGTGTCTTCATTTCGTCGTAAACAATGTGTTCTTGAAGAGATTTTGAAATAATGCATGTAATCTTAACCCATCTAGGAATGTTGATTTATTCTAACATGATCTGTGATCATTTAAGTCTCTAGGAGTCTCGATATGGTCTCGATCACATCATGAAAAATAGAATAAGTTCATATTTGAACACCCACAATCTTTGACTTCATGATGCATACAATTAATGGAAGACTCTTTTTTTGATATAGAAATTTTTTTTTCCTAGATAACCAACGATTTTGTTGTTATAAGAAGCATTACCACCATCGGTCCCGACCCTGGGATCCATCTCAAAGTTTCCTCTGGTTTGACAGTAAAAATGATTCCGGCAGAGAAGAAAACGAGGAGGGAGAAAACATAAGTGGTGTCACGGTGTGAAGGAGAGTCGCTAGGGACGTCAGTTTTGTGTTTATCTTTTTTAAATTAATAAAATTAAATTTACAATCTTTTGGTAAATATTTTTGAAACTACCTTCATTTAGTAAATATTTTTTACAAATACCACCCTCGGGCTAAAAACTCTTTTAAATTTTGGATAAATTGTAACTGTCAAATGGTTTTGGATCATGGTATTCTAAGATTTGCAAAATTCAGTCTTAGTTGGACATGATTAACAGTCATCTATTCAATTAACGAATTAATTTGCAAATTAAGAATACAAAATTATGACATAATTTTCTTTTTTGTTTATGGAACCTCTGATATTTCTTAGAATAATAGAAATATATGAATATTATAACTGTCGTTAA